GCTCCCAGTGATCGCAGGCCTGTCGAGTGTCGCGCCAACTTTAACACTCTGAAGATCCTCATTAACCTGAACACCTGAGAGGACACAGAGTGGACGATGAGTCTGAAGCTTTAAAAAGAGTCTAACTCTTGCTGCACGGCAGCAGCTGCGGACATTCACTACACTGATCCAACGGTGGAGTCACCAAGCTTCAAATAACGGGGTCAGTGAACAGACGCGTGATCGCCGCGAGCTTCAGATGGGTTTTTTTGTAATGAGTACAGAAGCCACACCCACCATGTGCTCTAAGCTTTTGTTTGCAAGGAACAGCCAATCAGAAGAAAGTTGCATCAAAGACATGTTGGTGTTAAAGACCCTAGCATTAGCTCAACAGGCCCATTTTATTTTTAGTGCTCTTTAAATGACAGTAACTTTGTTACTGCTTCTGCTAGAGACAAAATTCAATCCGTTTCAGAAAGAAGACAAGATGAGCTTTAGGGAGATATTTGGGGTATCAGGGAAGCACAAAGCATTCACAAGGTACTGCCGTCTGAACAAAGAAAAATCAGCTTCACATTACTGTAACTCCTCAACCACACTGGGCTACAGAAAAAATGGTTCCTGAAAGATGAGAATTATTTTATAATTTTACAGCCACAATGATAAAATAAGCTGTATGATACTGGTGTGATAAAGGGTTCAACAGTGGGTGAACTGAGGCGCCTCATTAAATATAACTGTTTTGAACTGGGAATCATAAAAAGCTACTCGATTGTGAAACGAAACCCTAAAAAAATCCCTGACCCCAATGTTTTAAATTTAAAATGAACTGTACGTCATTGTTATAAACAGCAAGTTTTGTGTTGTGGCATTTGAATCTGTTTGTCATTTTAGAAATATTGATTGAGAAATCGCTCCAGTTACACATGTATCATAGTCGTGCACTAATTAGCCGCACAGATCCAGGAAATGCTAGACTGTCATTCAGGACCTGGAAATACATCAGACTAATGGAGCTACAATCCATAAGCCTTAGTTTCCTCCTGCTACAGGAGAATCTTAAAAGTGTGACATTAAGACCTGTGAGTAAACATACACTCTTACATTGACTTCCTTTATGATTTCTCTTCATCGTGTGTAATAGAGCTGCCACGATTAGTCAACTAGTCACGATTACGTCGACTATTAAAATTGTCGACGACTGATTTAATAGTCGACGCGTCGTTTGAAGCTTTGTAAGATC